GCCTATTATTCTTAAGTTTGGTCTTTTCACAGTATCCCATATTTCCTGGATATTTTGTGGTAGGGATTTGTTGGACTTAAGATTTTCTTTGGTTGATGAATCTATTTCCACTAGTGTGCTTTCAACTCCTGAGATTCTCTCTTCCATCTCTTGTATTCTGTTGGTTATGCTTACATCTGTAGTTCCTGATCATTTACCCAGCTTTTCTATTTCCAGCATTCCCTCAGATTGTGCCTTCTTTATTGTCTCTATTTCAGTTTTTAGGTCTTGAACTGTGTCTTTGAGAGATTTGTTGATATCTTGTATTTTTTGGTTAGTTTTTTCTTTCATTTCTTTAAGGGATTCTCATGTCTTCTTTGAGGTTGTGTATCATTTTCATGAAGATGCTTTTAATGTCATTCTCTTCTGGTTCATCTGCATCGTGATGTTCAGATCTTACTGGTGTATGGTTCTTAGTCTCCAGTGGTGTCATATTGGGTTTTCTGTTGTTGAATGTGCTTTTACCTTGTCCTCTTCTCATCCTTTCTTCTGGTGGGTGTAGCAAAAGTTTCTTGTTCTCTTGGTGGGTGTGGGACCAAGGTTCTTTTTTGGTAGATGCAAAGAGATCCAATACTCAGATGTCAGTTCTCTTCTTGTGGATGGAGATGTCACTGTTCCCTGGATGTCGGCAGTGTTCGAGCGTGCCGGGTCCTGCCGAGCTGACAGTTGGAGTCAGAGTTGTCACGGGGCCTAGGTGTGTTGGATCCCACTGCCGAACTCTGTCTGGCACGCAGGTCACTTGTATCAGATGACTCTGAGCAGCGAAGACAAACAGGAGCCAGAAACAACTTCTGGGCTACCTGGGCTGGCTCTGGGTGTTTGGTGTTCGGAACCCGTCGCCACCGAACTCGGTCCAGCACACAGGTTGCTTGTGTCAGATGACTCTGCTGATATTTTCTATACAGAAGATTTTCTTTTTTAAAGATTTCTTTATTATGTATAGTGTTCTCCCTGCATGTATTCCTGTAGGCCTGAAGAGGGCAACAGACCTCATTATAGATAGTTGTGAGCCACCCTGTGGTGGCTGAGAATTGAACTCAGGATTTCTAGAATAGCAGGCAGTGCTCTTAACCTCTGAGCCATCTCTCCAGCCCCATGAACAAGATCTTTTACCAAAAAAAAAAAAAAAAAAAAAAAAAAAAAAATCACCCGACTAGGCGGTGGTAGCACTTACTTTAATCCTAGCACTCCAGAGGCAAAGGCAGGTGGGATGGGTCTCTTTGAGTTTGAGGCCAGTCTGGTTTATAGAAGGGAGTTCCAGGACGATGGAGGAGGAGGAAGGGGAGGAAGAAGGAAGAAGAAAAAGGAAGAAGGAGAAGGAAGAAGGAGAAGGAAGAGGAGGAGGAGAAGAAGGAGGAGGAGGAGGAAGAAGAAGAAGCAGAAGCAGAAGCAGAAGAAGAAGAAGAAGAAGAAGAAGAAGAAGAAGAAGAAGAAGAAGAAGAAGAAGAAGAGGAAGAACCTGACTCTTTTGTGAACACCTTTGGTTTATTTACACTGTAAATTCCAAGCATTTTTGATGATCCAGAGAGGTAAGTCTGGATAAATCTCTTCGCAACAAGTATACTAAATATGTTTAAAGAAACTTTGGAATAATTTTAGAATTGTAGAGTAGAGCAGGAAGATAAGAAATTGAGTTGTCTGCCCCTCCCCTCGCGTGCTCAGATTGTCTTGAAAATTCAAGAAAGCAGGGGGTACCAATGGACATAAAGTGGAGGAGAGGTCCAGGTACAAGAGGTAGAGATGGTGTTTTACAGACCTGGGGAAGGGAATAGGAGTCAAGACTTAAAAGCCGGCTGGGTCTCAGAATTCAAACATGTGGCAGCAAAAAATCTCTGATCAGGATTTCTGAGTCTGAAGCAATGCTTTGAGGGCATTGGCTGGGAGAAGGGCATGCATTCTGTCTTGTGTGCACCAGTCTTTTTTTGCACAGTGCGTCCAACTCTCCAGCTGCATGTGCTGTCACTCTGCCCTTCGGAAGGAAGGCAGGAAGGAAGCGCTGGCGGAGAGTGGAGCAAGGGGAGGCAACGGTCTGGTCTGTGGCTGCTCAAGCCTGGAAAGAAGAAAGCTCACAGGTATGCTAAGGTCTGTGGTCAGAGGCAGCTGGAATGACAAGATGAGCCGGAGAATAGAGAAATGCTCATGGAAGTGGAGGAAGGTGGGAGACGGGCAAGAACGGGGAAGAAAAGGAGGAACTCAGTGGGGCAGGAAGTCAGAGCTAGTGTCTTAATCTTGTGTGGGTGTATGCTTAGCAACATACAGAATCAGGGAAGCTGTCACTTCTGTCCCGGATTCTACAAGATGGAAACAAAACCACGAAAGAGTAGACTCTTTTAGAATGTAGCCATGTCATGTAAAATCCATCTCATTTATGGTAATTGTGAATGTCCACTATTAAAATGATTTAATTTGATGGATTTTAGCTGCTGCTGCTGCTGAACTCTGGTCACATGTATGTGTTTTTAGGGATTCTGGGGAGACACAGTGGAAAGAACTAAAGGCAAAGTGGGCTTGTATAATTTACTTTATCGTTTAAATTTCAGTGTGTTCTGTTATACTTAGAACTTTCAAACTAGCTATAATTTACAAATTAGGCAATAAGGTACGCAGAAGTCATTGTGTGTGGTATATTTGTGTGTGTTTGAAAATATTTTGGTATATAAATATGCCAAACCTCAGTATGTAAAAACTTCGGAATATAACTTGTTACTAAATCAAATTGAAGTCCATAAAGTATAACACAAGTACAAATGTATAAGACAAATTTATATTTATCTTTAATTTGTTTTAAAATTAAATTTTTGTTTTGTGTGTGTATGTGTGTGTGTATACATACAAACCAAGGCAAGTGACTGTCACATACCAAGTGAAGGTCAGATGATAACTTGGGAGTTCCTGGAATCAAACTCAGGTCACCAGGCTTGGAGGCATGAGTCTTTACCCGAAGAGACATCTCTCTAGCTTCTTAATTATCTTCAAGTTCAACAAGGCACTTTGTTGATATGCTTTTCTTGACATCAGGCACAAGTCTTTCACTCATCTTTTGTGTGATTCTAACATATAGCCATTTATCTCATTTTTACCTCCTTGTTGCTAGTGTGGGGGATGGAGCCTCAGTTCTTCGTTTCCAGGGCTATTTCTTCACTGAAGCTGGTAGCAGCAAGTTTCCCGTGTTAAAATTCTAAGATGAGCCATGTTGTGAAATGCACTTTGTGCTTCCCTTATGGGCTCGGGTGCAGTGTGCCAGGCTACTTGATGCCCCAGGTATTGTTTGAAGAGACCTTATGAGACCTTTCTTATGAGACTCTTGCACTCTTCACCTTTAACCTGAAGTCACCATAAGCAAGAAATAAACAATAATGGGCCAATTTGCAGGGATCCAGTGATGTCCTGAATGAATGTGCATTGTTGCCATGCCATGGGCAAAGCGGGGTCAAGGATCCTAATGTCTTAACACCATGTGACTGGCAAAGTCTTCTTCAGGTGAGGCCCAGAGGGATGGCAAAGTCTTTCCCAGGTCAGAGTGTGAATGTTGCCAGTGTGCAGAAATGGTCTGCTGCAGCTTTCAACCGCACCCCTATGTTTACAGCTTGCAGATTGCTTTCCCACAGACTGCAGCTATTGAGATTAACAAAACCTGTCTCCTTGTTCACCTGCATAGAATAACCCCATCTCTTTGTTTATCTGTATGTAATAACCCAACATCATTGGTCCACTGTATGCAAAAACTCTACCTCCCTATTCAGCCCCATAAAATAAACACACCACACGTCATGGGTGCTGAGGCTTTTCCAGCAGAGGGCACAGTGCACATAGTCCCAGCTTTTCCTTATCGCTCCTAGCCAGGGTCCTGGGACCTAAGCCCTGCAAAGATGTGGCAGGCAAAGTCTTCTTTTTTTTCTGAGGAGTGAAAAGTCCAAGAGATGATCATGCGCACGTCACACACACACACACACACACACACACACACACACACACACCACACACACGGAGAAGCAGAAGAACTTTTGTAACCCTTTTGAGAAATAGCGACTAAAAGACACCAGCTGCTTGTTAAAATCTTCGTCATGATGCTGAGGTTTCGGTATGGTTTGCATGTGTTCCCCATATATTCATATTTCTGGAGCCAGTGTGCTGAGAGGTGATGGGGCCAATAGAAGGAAGGGCCTAGTGGGAGGTGCTTTGGTTATGTGGGGGAGCTCCACACAGAACAGATTAAAGTACATCTCTTTGACCGGGTATAGTGGCTTACGCCTGTAATCCCAGCACTTGGGAAGCTGACACAGAGGATCACTGTGGGTTTGACATCAGCTGGGCTACATAAAGAATTCCAGAATATATAGAATAAAACCTTGTCTCAAAAAAAAAAAAACAATACAAAATGAAAACAGCAACGGAAAAACAGTCCTTCTCATGGGACCTCTGAACTGTTACCAGAATGTACCTGACTTTTGAGTAGTTCTCCGGCTTTCTTTTCAGTGGTGTGACTGCTTATTCCTGTGAGCCTCCTGCCACTGTGCTATCCTGACAGAACACAGACAGTATGGATAGTTCTAGAAATAAAGACAATTAGTTTTCTCTTAGTGTTGTGACACAGTAATTATGTGTTTAATTCTTTAGAAACTGGCTGAAGTCACCCCTAAAACCAGGAGGGTCCCCTTTGAAAGACTCATCCTTAATTGCTTGAATAACTTTTTCTTTTGAGATGTACAGAAAAGGATTAACATTGCTCAAAGAAAGGCCTGGCCTTTCCCCTGGGCTTTTAGGAGGTGATTTCTAAGCCTTGGAATATGGCTGACTAAGAGTGTCTTCATTTAGCACAACCTTGGACCATGACAGTCTGTGCCAACAAAGTGATTTACTGTGGAGGACTTGGTCCACTTAGCATCAGATCAACCTCGGAAGCGGTCAGAGAGCAAGGTCAGCTGTGTGCGTGATGAGCCTGGATGTATATGACCAAGTACAGAGTCTAGACACAGCTCACAAGCTTTCCTGGTGGCAATACTCCATATATATTGTCACACCCAATTTTTAGAGTTAAGTCATTTTTTGTAAAAAAAAATAATTTCTGTCATTTATTTTATATTGTTTAATGACTTTAAAAATCAGTAACTTTAATTATGGTATTAAATCATACTGTTACTGAAAAGGCATTTGGTTGAAGTTAACATCGTTTTGGGGACAATTTTGTACATATGTGCAAGGTACTGTAACCATGTTTTGAGAGGTAAGCTCTGTTTGCTTACGTCACTTTGGAGCTTCCCCCAGACCTTGCTCTATGTTGCTTTCCCTTGTTTCATTTTGGTCTGTATTTTTATTTGCAACACGAACCAGCTGAAAGTAGCTTTTAATGGATTCTTTGAGTTTTTCTACCGAATTAACAAACTTCAAGGTGGTCTTGGGGCTCCGAAGTTTGCAAAGTGTCTTGGGAGGTGGGATTTCCGAGGCCGACCCCACTCACTCACTGCGAAATAGTGAAAGCTTAATGTGGGGGAGGAAGGTGACAGTGGGGCTGGAGGAACCTGTGACCTCGTGTTGGCGGCTGGTTTTCAAAACCCTGATTTGAGCCTCTGTCCCAGACTTCCAGAGACCTGGGGAAGCCTCTGAGTTTATGTGAATTTTGCAGGGCCTTGAATCTTTGTAATAAAGTGGCTAAACTACACAGAAGCTCAAGATGTGGCAGGGTAAAGTATAACTAACCATCATGAGGGGAGAGACTAAGGTGGAACAGCTTACCGTTGTATCTCACTGGGGATGGAAAAGCCGTCTCCTCCATCTTCTCCTTTTCCTCCTCCTCCTTCTTTGATTTTTTTTTTTATTTAAATTAGAAACAAGCTTCTTTTACATGTCAGTCTCAGTTCCCTCTCCCTCCCCTCCTCTCCCGCCCCCTCCCACTCACCCCCTTTCTGCTCCCCAGGGAGGGGGAGGCCTTCTGTGGGGGAATCTTTTAAAGTTTGTCATATCATGGGAAAGCCTTCTTTAGGGAGTTCATTCATCCCTTCAGGACTGAATCATCTTTACCCACCTGGAAAGATGCAGGCTCTAGGAATACTTAGCTAAGGTTGCATTTTTCTTGAAGCTCTCAGGGCAGGACAGGACAGTGTGTATAAAAAAATAGCAACGCTATGTGGTAGAACTTGTTAGGAACGTAAGAAAGACGAATACGGCACTTCTTCCAGTTCAGTCTCCAGGGGCTGGTAGGTCGTCTATGGCTTTGGAGAAGAGGATGGGGCTGTACTGGGGCCAGGATTGGTGAAGCCGATTTTCCTGTCTTGAGACAATGTCTTGCTGATATAGCCCTGCCTGCCTGTTACTCAGTGAGTCCCAAGGAGGCCTCTGATTCAAGACAATGTCCTGCCTCCTCTTCCAGGGTAAAGCAGCTTTTAAATTCACTGTTGTTCATTGCTTCCAAAAGTCAGACCTTGCCTTCCATCTGTTATGTGAGGAAATTCACTCTGTTGCATTACTTTGTTTTTGACTTTGAGACAGGGTTTCACTGTGTAACCCTGGCTGTTCAGGACCTCACTCTGTAGACCTCGACTCACAGAGATCTGCCTGCTTCTGCCTCCTGGGTGCTGGGAATAAAGGCCTGAGCCACCACTACATCTTGAACACTACTACTCAAAGTCAGGGATGCTGGCAGATAACCGTGAGGGAGCTCCAGGGGTCGAGGGCTGTCTTAAGAGGATCAGGGATAATTATTATATCCAGGAAAAAGCAAAGCAGGCTGATGGTGAAGAAGCAAACCCTCACTGAAGTGCTTGGGTATTGAAACACCACACACTGGGTAGTTCATACATTTGTCTCTTTAGGTTTGAAAGCTGGACACTCAAAGATCAGGATGCCCTCATAGTCAGGTTCTGGGAAGGCTTTTGTGGGGGCATGCAGACTCTTAACATTTTGTCCTCTCGTGGTAGAAAGAATGGGAAATAAGCAGGATTCTTGGAGCCTGTGGGGTCCCCTGACCCACTTTTTAAATAAGAACATTAATTCCATTCATGAGCGCTCTTGATCACTTCCCCTAACATTCCACTTTCTAATACCAACATACTGATTAGGTCTCAATATTTGAATTAGAATGGTGGGACACAAACATTCACATTTATTTAAAATAATAACAACCAAAGTAATGGGTTTATTATGGCATTTAAAAAGATTTATTTATTTTATGTGTATGAGAGCTCTATATGAGAGCTCTATCTGCATGTATGCCTTGATTCCAGAAAAGGTCATCAGATCCAGACTAAAAATGGTCATGAGCCATCTCATGTTTGCTTGGAATTGAACTCAGTTCTGGAAGAGCAGCCAGTGCTCTTAACTGCTGAGCCATCTCTCCAGCTCCCTTATTACACATTTTTATACATGTGTGTACCAGAGTTTTACATACACACTCTCAGGGATAACTTTTAATTTGATTCTGAAAACTATCCTAAAGGACACTCAAGTATTCAAGCATTGCTGATCTTTAAGAAAACCCACACATTTATTTATGGGTGTGCTCACCTACATTTTGGGTACTTGTGGAGGCCAATTCTCTTTCATCACGTGGATCCTCGGGATCACATTCAGGTCATCAGGCTTGAGGACAAGTACCTTAACCTACTGAGCCATTTCTCCCACCCAAGCACTGTTGATCTCAGGACTCAGAAAGTAATTTGCTCAGCGTCACACGGGTAGTAAGTTGATGAGTTGGAGTTCAAGTCCAGATGTTTGACTCCAAATTGGTTGTCCTGTTCAGAGCATCTGTGCTGCTTCCAAGGATCTGGATGTCATCTTGCTCAGTTTTGGTCAGTCTAGAAATACATCTTAGGATAGATAAAGAGGATGTATTTGGAAGGAACCACAAGTATTTGTTGCTAAGAGGAAAATGGGAAGAAAAAGGCATGCACTCTCATTATGGCCTTGAAGTAAAGTGTCTTTAGGGAGGTGATGTACCACTGTCTCCGTCCCTCCATGAAGTTCACAGGGATCTTTGCTGCCTATTCTACAGGATGGAATCCAGCTGTGGATGGGGAGGGCAACACAATTGGGTTTGCATTCTTTCTGGGGAAAGGTGAAAGGAGGGCAGAATTTGCATATGCTAACCATTTGGTATCACAGATGTCCTAGGCTGGTTAGATATTTCCCAGCAACTCTAAACTTTATGTCTCTTCCTAAGTCACCCTACACGTTCCTCTCCTTCAACCACTTACTCAGGGTTCTTCTTCTCAGACCACCCAGGTAGTCTAAATTCCTTCCCATTTCTGCTTCCGCAGTGTGTGTTGGTTTGGGGCAGTCTGGGATAATGGCTGTTGGTTTCTCTCCACACTGCAAGTAGGATTGAGGCTAAAGCGCACAGGCTTGAGGCAGACCAAGGGCTAAGGCTTTGCAGCTGGTTTTGTGAGTCACTGTGCACTCTGAGCACCCGCCCACTGGTGGCAGCTTAGCTTGTGGGAACGGTTAGACCCAGTCTAGGGACTCAGGCTTTCTCAGTGGCCTTGTCAGCTCACAGCAGAAGTGAACAGCCTTGAGTTGAGGAAATTGTGGCTGGACAGGCACGAAGGTAGTTCTGCTCATGTTTTACTGACCGAGCAGCTGAGTCTTTTAACGTCTGAGCTCCCGAAGAGGAGAGGGGGCCCATTGGCCTGCTCTGTTCTGTGGGGATGTTGGGGAAAGCTGCCCTGCTTGCATTCTTCCTGCTCGTCAGGGGTCACCAGGGTCACGGTAAGGATTCCTGGTTGGTGTGCGGTGGGGCCTGGCATAGACTCACAGGTGCATGTGTGTGTCTGGGAGATCAGAACTCGGAGCCTCTGATTATGCCATCCACATAGTCAACTGGAATGCAGGGAGCAAGAGGAGAGATTGGAGGAGGTAGTCAGTCCATCCAGGTCCTGTTGGCCTTTGTGAAGTGCATGGCTTTTAGTCTGGGCAAAGTGTGGAAAGCTGGAGGGATGTGAGCACTCTTGCTTCACATCCAGTTTTCTCTCTCTGGGAGCAGCTTCGTCACCAGTCACGGGCTTTCTCCTTTCTCCTATTTGGCCAGACACCACCTTGTCAGTGTTGCCTTCCCCACCGAGAGTGCCAGCAATTCCTGACCTTCCACTCTACATAATACTCTCTAATTTCCCATCTCCATTTTACATATCACAGTGCTTTCCTACATTGTTTTCTGCCCCACAGTGTCTTCTTCAGCCCACTGGAATGTAAGGTCCTAGAGACCAAGGTTTAAATCTTTTTTGCTGTGTTACTGTAGCCTCGGCATCCGGAATGGCCTCTGGCACAAGTAGACCTTCAGTACATATTTATTTCCATACTCAACACCCTCCTCTCTGCTCCCATCTGCTCCCTGAATCTGTTTTGAGCAGCTCTGTATTAAGCCAGGTGCTAGACATTGAGGACCATGCTTGAATAAACCCTTGGCACATATGCGTCCGGGGCCTACATGCTGTCAGCATAGTGCCATGCCCGATAGAGCAGGTGTTCGAGATATGTTTATGGAGTGAATAAGCGCATTTTCTGTTCTGGAATCCTGGATGTGGGCTAGGATGATAACTTGAGCCATATACATAAAAACAGGGAGGGTATACCTGGCCCTTAAAGTTCATTTGGGTCCTGAATTCAGATTTTTGGTTGTCCATTCTGAAGAAAAGGATGGGCTGGGAATTGTGAGTGCCTGGATGTTTGGGTCTGGGTGAAGTATGGTAGATAAAAGAAAGGCTGGGACAGTGTCTCCCCAGTTAGCACATGGTTGTAATGGGCCTTGCACTTCTCAGGGACTGGTACTAGTTGTCACTGCTCTAGAAGGGACCCCAGGGAGGCTCTAGCAGGCCAGAGCCATTTTCATCCAACTTCTGCTCATCACAGCCCTCAAACAAGGCATGAGTGGGGAAGCAACTGGGTGTGGGAAAGATTTTGGCTCAGGACCCCAAAGGGACCCTAGA